AAGGAAGTTCTCCTTAGTACTAGAGAACCAAGTGCGAGAGTTTTAGGACCAAACTGGGAAGGCCCCAACCGCATTGCCAAAATGATAAGACCGGTGACTTATCATCTCAAAAGGCTAAATGGTTCCGAAGTATCGCGAGCTTGAAATGCTGAACATCTCTGACCATATTATCAGTAATTCCAAACTCAGTTTTTCCTTGTAAAGATTTTATTTCTCACAATCTTTGTAAATAACAAGTGTATTATTTTGTTCTTTTGTAATAATCTTTCCACATGTAATTCTGCTCGTATAGACGTGTTATAATCATGTTTGAATAGACTTGTTCTAATGTTATAAACGGTTAGAATGCGATCTCACGAACAACATGGGGTACAGAAATTATAAGTGCTCGAGAGATTAAGAAAGATGTATTTCATTAATAAGGGAAGTACGACGAACAAGATCCCAAAGATAAATTGCAATTATCAGCCCTGATCCCCAACTCTTGAAGGCTCGGCCTCGTTATCCCCCAACTTATCGCCATCTGCCTGGTTGGCTGCGGGCTTCTCTAGGACGTATCCTGAAGTCTTTCCCTGATCAAATCCTCGGGTGGCCTCCGCTGTCTCCTTATCGTCAAGCCGCGCCATGGATATGCGAGTTTCCCGCCAATCCTCTAGGAGGTTGGACATATCAATCTCTGGATTCCTCGGCCACAAGGCATAGATAGACTCAATCGCCCATTCAGTAGCCTTTGCCTTGATTTCCGCTGCTTGACTCTGCATCTCTTCGGTCAGTGAAGTAACTCTTCCCTAACTTGCTTGGAGTTCGGCCTCGAGAGCCTGCATTCGCTTCTCGGAGGCCTCCCAAAGCTTGCCCCTCTCCCGCTCTGCTCGTAAGGCCCGCTGAGAGGTCGTTTTAAGCTTCAGGTCTTTCTTGTCGACCTCCTTGGAGAGTCTGGCTATAGTCCTCTAGAGCTCCTTTATCTCCTTCCCGTTCTTCTCGAGCTCAGCCTTTTGAAAATCCACCGTGCGAAGAGCCACATTCCTTTCATTCAGGTACTGGTTCACCGATTTAGTGGATAGCTCCTTCTCTGCTTTAGCTGCTTCCAGGTCCCGCTTGAGCCGCACATTCTCTTCCCTCAGCGCGACCTCTCTCTCAGCAGCTCCCAGCCGGACCTTTTGCAAGGATAGTTGCATGGAGAGCAGAGCCTGCGAACAAAAAGAATAGCAAGTCAGTTTCCTACTAAGAACAAAAAAGTAGTCCTCGTTGAGGATAGCTCGTTTTACCTTGCTTAACTGCTGGATTGATGTGGACATCAGGTCCACATGGTTGGAACCCACGAACTCTTCAAATGCTTTCGCGAGTCTGCACTCCAGCAGGGCGAAGACCACTAGCTACAAATGATCCGGCAGTTGTCCCATCGAGTCCAGCACTGGAGTGTCCTTGTCGATGCCCCCGGCAGAGGTGTCGCCCATCGGTTCCTTACCCGTTCTCTTTCCAGTGCCTGCGACCTCGCTTTGCCCTACTCGAGGTGCTCCCGGAGTAGTGGAAATGCCTGGCTACGACCTCCCGAGCTGAACACCCAGATCCTCTGGTTTGGACTCTGACTCTTCGGTCTGAATTTGTCGCCTCTTCCTCGAGCGAGCAGCTGAAGGTTGGGAAGTGCCCGTAGGTCAGACCAGAGTGCCCGCCGAAGGTTGGGAAGTCCCAATAGGATGCGGCGAAGCTACGGGTGTTGCCCTTTTTGTCTAGGGGACCACTAGGAGCAGCTTCGGTCGTCCTAATGGTGCTCACTCGAGGAAAAGTGAACTGCCTTCATCGTGGCAACCTTGGCACCTTCGAAGGCATGGGTGCCGCATGTGAACGTCGTTAGTAAAAATAGTTTATTGCGCAATCGAGAAAGACCCAGTTAACACAACTTACTCGATGGGGGCTCTAAGGTTGCTTCCGGGTTGAAAAAACCATACTTCCACAAATTCTCTGTCGTCATAAGCAATCTGTCGTCATGAGCAATCTGGCGTCATGACTTGCTTCAGACAGGAAGCCAAAGGTGACAATTCTATCCGAGTCCGCGAGGAGTTCCAAATTGGTCGTTTTGTTAACTGCAAAGGAAAAAGAGTTCATTAGCAAAGACCAAAACAGTTCGCAAACTCATAACAAAAAAAAAAAAAAAAGGAAAGAAACCTACTCGGATCCTGGAAATAGAAAAAGCCATCGTAGCGGAAGAAAAAGAACTTCGTCTCGTAGGCTCCCACATTGCTCGGGTAACTATGTATACCCGCTTCGATGGTGGTTCGCCTAGAAAAGTAGTAAGAATCTTTTTCCTTACTTTTCTTCAGAACATACGAGCAACCGAGTTCCACTGCGGTTAGCTCGCCCAATCCGCTCTCGCGGCACACGATGTACATTGCCACTGCTATCATATACGCGTTTGGCGTGAGCTGGAGTGGTGCAATCCCGAAGTGGTCGAGAGCCAACCTGATAAAAGGGTGGAAGGGGATCAACCCTCCACTCTAAAAAATGCTCTCGGAGATCGCAGCCAACCCCCGTGGCAGATTATGAGCTGCGCGTGTCCTATCTCGGAAGACAGCCGCACGAAGAGCATATTGCTCTATTATCTTGTCCAGATCCTCGGCAATCAATACCGATAGGATCTCTTGACAGGGACTCGCAGGAGCATCCTGCACAGACAAATTGGTCTTTTCCTCGGCTCTGGTCATTGGGGGGTCCATTCTACTGTAGTCTACAAAAGCGACAAGCAGGGAATCGTTTAGCCCTTGTACACTATTTCGTACGATGACGTGGAGGAAAGTAAACACTTCCCCTCCTAAATCCCAGAAAAACCCTAACAGAATGTTTCGAGCCATCATTCATGGCTCGAACCCAGCGAGAACATTTCGTCTCCGATCAACTACTGGCAGACTGATATCGTTTATCAACTATTGGAAGTAAGAAATAAAAACAGAAAAGAATGATTCTTACCTCTCGGAATATGAAGATGAATCCTTCTGCTTCGAATATCAAGTACGCGCTGGTTTGGAAGACAAAGAACCAAAGTTTGCAAAAGTCTCTTGCTCTCTCTGAAAAGATGAGTATGGTGACACTGCCTGAAATGAACCTAGGTTTTATAGCAAAAGAAATGGTGCTTGGTTTTCTCGAAATCAAATGACGTTTGGGCGAAAAAATATATCTCACCGTTGATCGCGACCATGTGTTGCAGATCCACGAGGAAGGGTGACCGTCACGCTACAAGAAAACCAAATCGTCGTCCTTCTCCGTTGAAAAAATCAAGCGACGGCACGTTCTCCCTCCGCATTAAATGCGCCCCAATCTGCATTTAATGCTCTGATAGGGAATGTCGTTTTAGCATGTCACACATTTAATGCGCATGGCTGGCATTTATTGCGCACAGGACATGACTGTCAGAACAGAAGGTGTTTCATTAAATGTATCCATTACGAAAATGCGACAGATAACGTGTGAAGAGATCGTAACATAGAACACTCTTCGTCGGGCCAGTCACGAAGCAACGTGACTCCTCGACTCTACCCCATTGGTCGCGAAGCGACGTAACTCTCGATGGGTATTCAGTTCCGAAACAGCCCAATCCCTTGTCCAGAGGAGAATTCCAAGTATAATCAGGTCGTTCATCCTTAAGCAATGACTATATCAGGTCGCACGCATAAAAGCGCAGTCTCGACCACTTTTCAATCGGGTCGGGTCTACCAGAATCTCTTTGAAGGTGTCTTGTCACGGCATAATGTGTAGTTTCCAAGGTTCGATCCTCAAACCTTAAAAACTAGGGGACTTTTGTTATGCCTGAAAAAGTAAGGCTGACGCAAAACCCAATAGCATAAAAAGTTAGAGCTTAGGTAGGTCCGCAGCCACGTCGCATAATGACATGAGCAGCATGCTTCTGTCAGTGCAGTGGGTGCGCGTCAGACTAGCCAGGAGCTAGAGTGATTCCACATGTCCAATCCCTGCACCAAATCGCGTAAATCACTCAAGAAGGTGGGCAATGGGACATAAAGAAGGATTTGCACGGATAATTCCACCAACTCACAGATTTAGTAATCATAATCTTAACCCATCCCACTATAGATTTAGAGCTCCTCTCTCATTTAGGGGATGAGCTAATCTCTCTAAGAAAATAGCATTCTCTCTCTCTCTCTCTCTCTCTCTCTCTCTCTCTCTCTCTCTCTTGTGTAATCATTTGTAAGTCAGCTTGCTGAACGCAACCTGACCATTACTATTAATACAAAACCAGTGGACGTAGGATTTGCTTCCTTGAGCATCCGAACCACTTTAAACACTGTTCTCTATTGCTTTTACTCCCACTCTCTCATCCACGTGTGTCATCTGAGCCAGCTCAGCATTTCACACGTGCGTTTGGTTGGTGTCAAAATCACACATCAACATTAATTATTCTATTTATTCAATTCATGTTAAACAAAGTTTCATCAATTTCCAAATCATATGTGAACCTCCTTGATTTACCGTTTAAGAAAAAAAAAACAAAAAATGCTGGATTGTAAAAGATTGTTTATGTATTGAATTGACATAAAGCGCTACAAATTGTGATTAAGAAATACGAATAATTAGAAGTTGTGTTTAAGAAGAAGAACGATACAAATGCATGAACGCCTTTAAGAAGTCAAAATCTAACTACATTTGGCCTGCAGTTTTACTTTCATATTTCTTTTCTTTATTCCTCTCCTGTAATTAGATAATCCCGATAAAATAAATGGCCTACAGTTTTACCTTCATATTTCTTTTCTTTATTCCTCTCCTGTAATTAGATAATCTCGATAAAACAAATGACTTGCCGTTTTACCTTCATATTTCTTTTCTTTATTCCTTTCCTGTAATTAGATGATCTCGATAAAACAAATGGCATGTAGTTTTACCTTCATATTTCTTTTCTTTATTCCTCCCCTATAATTAGATAATCTCGATAAAATGTATGTTTTCCTTTTAAACTATAATTCAATATTTCTAAACAAAGTAGGTAGGGTTGCATTATGAAATTCCTGTTCTGTTGCTCAATCATCTCTGTATCACAAATTGAAACTGCCATCGATGGTAATATTTAGACTTTACCTCTTCTTATTCAATCATGTTCGTACAGTTTATGTAGATATTGCTACTAGTTAGACGTGTAGTTCTTGATTCAGTTTCGCTCTTGATTGCTTTCTGTATTTGCCCACAAAACCAGGTGGACAAAATCATCAAAACTTTCATGTATTCTTTTCTAATGAGCTTAAAACTGCTACTCATGGCTTCTCTAGTTCGAACAAGATCGGAGTGGGCGGGTTTGGTTCTATCTACAAGGTTGACTTTTCTCTCTTTGCCTGAATATCAAGTGTGAACAGAACTTTCTTGTATTTTAACTTGCATATGTGATGTGAATAGAACATTAATTGAACTCATCTGTGTCATTTTCATTTCAATTTCTTTCTAATGTGAATGCAAGATTGTGAATAATTGTTTGATTGACAATGAAGGGCCGGCTTCAAGATGGCACTTTTGTGGCTGTGAAAGTTCTTTCAATTGAACTTAAATCGATGAGATGATAGAATTTGAGGTGGGCTTGACTCCTCACCCAATAAGGCCTTGTTGAATGGGAGGATTACCCCCTCTTATAACCCAATAGGCTTGAGCGTGCCTAGTCTATGTGGGACTCCAACACTCCCCGTCACGGTCAAGCCCATATGTTGGGTCACGCTTGTTGATGAAGGTAGTTGCTGGCTCTAACTCCTCACCCGCTGGTCAAACGCTTAGCTCAACTGAACTTGGGCTCTGATACCATGATAGAATTTGAGATGGGCTTGACTCCTCACCCAATAAGGCCTTGTTGAATGGGAGGATTACCCCCTCTTATAACCCAATAGGCTTAAGCGTGCTTAGTCAATGTGAGACTCCAACATGAGAGGTGAGAGGGAATTTATATCTGAACTCGCTGCTCTATCAGATATCACGCATGAAAGCCTTGTTAAACTTATCGGATGTTGCATTGATGGAACCAATAGATATCTTGTCTATGATTCCATGGAGAATAATAGTCTCACCCATTCTCTACTTGGTAATTTTTCATTCTATTTTACAAAATAATTAGTTATTAATTCTCTATTTTATATGAGATCAATTCAATAGTTTTGTGTTTTGATTGATAAGCGGGGAGCAAAACAGGATGAAATTTAGTTAAGGAAAAATGATATCCTTACAAAGACCCATACAAAGAGGGGTACAAAGTGACATCATCCAGAAGAAAAAAACAAAGAAAAAACGGAAAAAGAGAAAGAGAGAGAGAGAGAGAAATCATGAAAATCAAGGGTGGGGATTATTTTTGTAAACCCCCTTTGTATGTGTCTTTGTAAAACTAGCATTGCTCTTTAGTTAAGATATCAGGCGGGATATCTTGTTAGGAGTTGCTCGAGGGCTCGCCTATCTTCATAAGGGGATTGAACCTCACATTGTGCATCGAGATATCAAAGCCAGCAACATACTAATTGATCAGAATTTTAAACCAAAAGTTTCTGATTTTGGCCTATCAAGGTTATTAAGAGATAACAACTCTTACATTAGTACTGGTGTCGCCGGTACATTGTAAGTGAATTAGTTTTACTAATCTTTTCTTACAACTCTCTAATTTGTTGCCTTTTAGACACAAATCTTATGGACAAAAAGACATTATTGCTAATGAGGTTTCTTGCAATTACTCACAATGTCAAAAGAGGCTATCTTGCTCCAGAATATGCCATTAGTGGACACATGACAAGAAAATCGGATGTTTATAGTTTTGGAGTGCTACTTCTGGAAATTATCAGCGGCCGGCAAGTTGTGGTTTTTGATTTAGAACAAGGGGAATATTACCTGGTCCAGAAGGTTAAATGGGTTACATAATCATCTTATTCTGTTAGTTTGATTTGTATTGATAATGTGGAAATAAGAATTATTTATTTGTTGCAGGCATGGGAAGTTTACAATGCTGGCAATTTGGTGAAATTAGTGGATCCTACACTTCAGATGAACTATCCTGAAGAAGAAGCCATTCGATTCTTCAAGGTGGGACTGCTTTGCGTGCAAGAAAATGTAAGGCTATGGCCGACAATGTCAGAAGCTCTCAAGATGTTGTGCAATGAAATGGACATTCAGGATGTTCAGATTTCACGGCCAGGGCTAGTTGCTGATCTTATGGATATCAAGTTGAACCAAAAAATTGATGGTTTTGAGGCTGTAGAATCCTAAGGAAAAGCACTGCAGAGAAGTTGGCACACAATGAAAAAACTGAATACGGGAATTGTCTAATATGCAAATAATATACATGGTTTGCACTAGGGGTGTTCGGTTCCGAGTACCCTGCCTTTTTGTAAGTAACCAGAATCGGAACCGACGGTTCCTTAAAATTTGATACTAGAACCGGAACTGACGGTTCTGGTTCCTGGGTACCCAGAACCGGAACCTGTAACAACGGTTCCGGGTACCCTGTAAAATTCCTTTTACCCCCAAAAGTTTATAAAACGACAAAAAACCCTTAAAAACCTACAAATACCCCCCAACCTGACACTTGTTAACAAAAAATAAAATAACAAATACATTATAAAGCCTTAAGCCTTCCACCTCCAATTCAACTTTATGGAAACTAATGATTTCACATTACAAATTACAATAATCCGTTAGAAAAATCAGAAATTACAAATTACAAACTCCAAAATTAAAATGATGAAATTACATAACATATAAAATAAGTAACATAACAATTAACAAAATCCAAATATGAAAAATTGAAAATATCTCATACTCCATGCTCCAAATTGCTTGCATCATGAGCATTAATTTCTACAAAATAAATACAAGTGAATCAGTAAGTTCAAAATATTGAATACAATTATTTGGGAATAAATTAACTAAATATGAATATAAAAGATTGATATTATATTGTTACCTAAGTCGTAACTTTCTGCATCCATTAAGTAATCCTCAAAAGTAGCTGGGGTATATGCATATCTCAACCAATCATGTGTACAAACTAATGCTTCCACAACAGGTGTACTTAAAGAACTCCAAAATTGATCAAGTACACGACCTGATGTACTAAAAGCTGACTCAGAAGCAACTGTAGATACCGGAATGGCAAACACATCTCTTGCCATATGCGAGAGAACCTTATACGTTACAGCATTTACTTTCCACCAATCTAGTATGTTCAAGTTGGACTTCACGAGAAGACATTTCTCCTCAAGGTAAATTTCTAACTCTGATTTAGTCATATCATGAACCTCTATCTTCATCTCCTCCTCATACTCGTCTAAGGAGGGGTCGTAGTCACTATCATCACAACTCACACCAGTAACTGAAGACTGACCAATTTCGGTAGGTTGGGAAGAAGTGGAAACTTGGCTTTCTTGGAAACTTGATACAACCTCCACATAAAAATCATACAACCGTTGTAACAAATCTCTCAACTTTCCATACATCAACCCAACCTTTTGAAAATCATTGCCATAAATCTTTTTGTACCCCCACTCCACATATTTTATTTTAAACTGAGGATCTAAAACTGCTGCAATCAATACCATCATGTTGGATCTATCAACACTTCCATAATACTTATCAAACTTCTCTTTCATTTTCATTGACATGTTGTTAAGTACTGGATTTGTGTCTTTCTCCCATTCATTCAAACAAAGTACAATACCAATTGTCTCTTGAAAGTAAGAGTTAGAAGTCACATAGTTCGACCTCAACATTTTATTTGTAGCTTCATAAAATTTTCTGAGGAATTTAGCAAATACATTTGCTTTTTCCCAATCCTCGTTAGAAGGTGGATCATGTGACAAATCTATAACATAGTTTGGATCCTCATCTTCCAACCTCTGAAAAGCTTTCCTAAATTTTAGTGCAACATCTAACATCAAATAGGTGGAGTTCCATCTAGTAGCAACATCAAGACACACACCACCTTTATAAGCAATCCTTTCTTCTTTTACACATCTTTGAAATGTTTCGGATCTAGTAGGGGAACTCCTCACATACTTAACCGAATTACGAATTCGGCTAATACAATCCTTTGTCTCACTAAAACCATCCTTTACAATCAAATTCATAATATGAGCAGTGCATCTCATATGGAAGAACTCGCCATCCAAAAGTAGCGCTAATTTGCCCTTTAAGTAAGCAATTGCCACGTCATTAGCGCTAGCATTGTCAACTATTATAGTGGACACTTTATCTTCAATACCCCAATTGAAAATTCACTTCTCAACCACTTTCCCTATCTCTCTTCCCTTGTGACTACTAATGGGCACAAAATTGAGAATTCTTTTATGTATAACCCAATTCTCATCAATGTAGTGACCAGTGAGACATAAGTAGCTAATATTCTGAATTGAAGTCCATATATCAGTAGTCAAAGCAATCCTAGACTTTAGAAAGTGCAACTTACTTTTCAGTAAAACCTTCTCAGAATCAAAACGCTTCACAACATCCATAGCCAATGTGTTGCGAGAAATATCAGACCACAAAGGTTGCAATGAACTTAGAAATCTCCTAAATGGTGGCTGCTCCACCATTCGAAAAGGTTCTTCCATAATAATAATCATTTCAGCAAGCAACTGCCTAGACACTTCTTGATTGAATCTCCAAGTGCTAATCATACTACTTTCTGCTCTTTCTTTGTTTGTGGTCTTGAAAGTTGAGATAAGTGTTTGGCTTTTATCTACATTGCTTAGGCGTTTCTTACAACTGGATAAATGCTTATGCATAGAAGAAGTTCCATTCGTCACATTAAACACCAACATCTTTGCACAATACAAACACTTTGTTCGGTCTACTATGCCCGTTGTCTCATTGACAATTTTCTCAAAGTGTTGCCACACATTGTATTGCTTGGGCTGTGCACGCACATTTGAGATATTCTCTTCAATGTCAATATTCTTTGATGACATTGTTCCTACAAAGAATTAAGCAATCAGCATATAAGTAATATAATAATCATGATATAAATTATAAAGGCAAAATTTATTATAAAGATCTTATTTTAAAAAAGAAAGCGACATTCATAACATCGAAATGTCTAATGCTAACAACAGTATATTATAAATAACAACAAATGAATTAACTCACTATGTCTAATTCCAAATGGTTAATTTAGTGTACATAAAAGGATGAACTTTCCCAACACAGCCGTACATAGTAAGGCACCAAAAATTAACTTTATTTTTAAGACGTTATTGTACATTCCAAATTCTTTACTATTAAATCACATATTCAATTCATATTAAACAATTAACATCTGAATGCACAATGTAAGATGGTTTCTTTTCTTTGATTTGCAATACAATAAATGAATAAAACCTTGAAATGAAGCTTCAATATCTATGGAACTGAAGGACTAGAGATAAAATGATAAATGCAAGAAGTAAAATATGATATTGAAAGAAATGAAATAATTATAAAGTATCCAAGGGAGATTACAAAATCGGAATTACATATATAAATAGGACAAATTTGTCTTTAAATTAACAAGTGGACAATGACCACCAAAAAAATTTAACTAAACCATTCTCTTTCAATTGTCTTGATATGTGTAGACATACACATAGCTGCTAAGTGGTGCATCTTTTAAAAAGAAAGCTTATTTGTTACCACATGTTAAAGGCCAAGGCAAGGCCAAGCAAAATCATTAATATTGTATTTGTTACTGCTGAAAGCCTGAAACGATCACTGAAGCAAGTGGGCATGTGTCCATAAGTCCATTATATACCAACCTAATTTCATTAATTATACTTTTTCATTTGCCACCACTACGTTTGCTTTTTGACCTTTTTACTATGTAAATATTTTCTACTTTTTAAACCATTACCATCAGATACAATCTATCCAACAATGAACATTATCAATGACATAAAAATTGGTGCATTGCAAACTATCTGTGCTATCTTTTTTAATTAATAAGTGGTGGACCATTGAGGCCCTAATGTAGTAATGCCTTAACTTTGTGGCTTTGTGCCCCAAGCTCTCAACAGGCCAACACAGCCAAGAATCTGTCAACTATTTTTGTCTCCTACGCAACCACCAAGTCAAATTTGGCTGCAAGTCTCATTTTGTGGGTCCAATTGTGTTATTCTCTTCTCTATTATTCTCTTCTCTATTTATTTTGTTTTTCAAATTTAATTTAATAATACAAATTTGTCAACACTTAACACTTAACAGGATGGGGAAGTAAGTCAACATACTGGGAAGCAGTGAGCACATGGGTCTTGCATTTCACAACTTTTAAACACAAGAATGATGCCTATTGGCTTGCCTATAAAGTGTTTGTGAAAAAAATTACTTCACAGCGTCAGGCATCAACACAACAAAGTCTTAGAAGAAGAGAGTTCAAGTGGGTCTTAGAAAGAGAAATGAAAACAAGATACCTGGGGTTGGAGCTGAAGGAATTCCACTTGAGCTGAGGGAGAAGTAACAGTCCTTAACCAATCGGGGCTCTGTTGTTGTTGTGATGAAAAACCAAAGAAAAGTGTGAATGATTTTTTTTCAATTTGGCGTTTAGGGTTAAAGAGTCGAATTGGGAATTTTAGTCTACACTAATTTAAATTTTTAGTGTAAAATATCACATAACCCCCCAGATTTATATATAATTTCATTTTAGTCCTGATTCCTGAGTACCCGTCGGTTCCTACCCAGTGAAACCAGAACTGGAACCGCACAGTGTCGGTTCTAGTTTTTTGGAACTAGAACCTACCCTGTCACTACTGGTTCCGGGTAGGAACCGAAACCGGACCCCGGGTACCCGTCGGTTCCGGTTCCGGGTGGTTCTTTTGTACACCCCTAGTTTGCATTGTTGTTACACCTACTCTGCAGTAGGTTTACAATCAAAATAAATCAGCCATACTTTGCTAACTACTACAAACACATTACATTAAAAAACACCTAACAAGCTGATTTACAGCTGAATTCACCTAAATTAACATTACATTGATTAAAAAATTCAGCTCCAAAGAGTTACAGCAGAACCAAAAAAACTACAGCAGAAATTTAAACTTTGCCGCCAACCTTGCAGCATCATATTCCAAAAGTTGACATCCTACATGCAGTTTCCAGCATAATATCAGCTTGATCAACACTCCTCCTTGATATTTATGCTAGAAACTCCAAGTTTGAGTCTAAATTCTTCAAACTTGGACTTATTCAATCCCTTGGTCATAATATCAGCAACTTGGCTCTCTCCCAAGCAATGAACCAAACTGATTTCTCTATTTTGCTCAGCCTCACTCACAACATGGTATTTAATCTTAATGTGTTTAGTTCGACCATGGAGAATAGGATTCTTAGCTATTGCAACAGCTGACATGTTATCACTATAAATGGTAGTAGACTCACCTTGGTTCAGCCTCAAGTCTCCTATAATCTTTCTCAACCAGACTGCCTGGTTTGTGGCAGCTACGACAGAAATGTATTATGCCTCAGCAGTAGATTGAGTTACTGTGTCTTGTTTTTTGGAAAGCCAACTGAAGGCACCATGATTGACAAAGAAAACATATCCAGAAGTGCTTCTCATGTCATCAATTGAGCCTGCCCAGTCACTATCTGAATAGCCAATTAAGCTGAATTTTTCAACTCTTCTGAACCAGATTCCTAACTCAGTAGTGCCCTTGATGTACCGTAGCACCCTCTTTGTAGCCTTATAATGTATCTCACTTGGCTTGCTCATAAATCTAGATAGGAGGCTGGTGGTGAACATTAGATCAGGCATGGTTGCTGTCAAGTACAGCAAGCAGCCTATTAAGCTTTTATAGACACCTTCATCCACCTTCTTGGCACCATCTTCCTTGCTCAGCCTTTGGCTAGGAATAAGAGGAATATCAACTGATTTACAATTGTTCATATTGAACTTCATTAGCATACTTCTTTTGACACACAAATATACCATTTAAGCCTTGGTATATTTCCATGCCAAGAAAGTAGCCAATTTCACCCAAATTAGTCATATCAAATTCCATCTCCATTGCCCTTTTAAATTCTCCCAACTGATTAAGATTGCTTCTAGTAACATGGAGGTCATCAACATAAAGGAAGACTATTATCACTTCACCATTTTGTTCCCTTACATAAAGAGTATGCTCATTTGGACTTCTCACATATCCTAGCTTACACAAATGGTCATTGATTTTGCTGTACCAGGCTCTAGGGGCCTGTTTGAGGCCATACAAGGCCTTCTTGAGCAGATAAACTTTCTCCTCATTTCCTTTAACTTCATACCCCTTCGGTTGCTCACTGTAGATTTCCTCATCAAGCCATCCATTTAAGAATGCAGACTTCACATCAAGTTGGAAGATTTTCCAACTGAATTGAGCTGCCACTGCCAGAAGAAGCCGAATGGTGTCATGTCTTGCCACAGGTGCAAAGGTTTCTAAAAAATCAACCCCAAATTGCTGTGCAAAGCCTTTAACAACAAGCCTAGCTTTGAGTTTGTTCACTGAACCAGCAGAATTCAGTTTCCTTTTAAATATCCATTTGACTTGTATTACTTTCCTGTCCAATGGCCTATCAACAAGCTCCCAAGTGTGATTTTTCTCAATCACATTCATCTCCTCCTGCATTGCAGCCTTCTAGGCCTCAGATTTTGCAGCTTCAACATAACTTGTAGGCTTTAATTCAACCATATTGCACCTTTCATATATATCATGCAGAGACTTGGTACCCCGAACTGGCATTTCATTCACTTCTTTTGGACTCAGTTTTGGATTCTGGTTCTCTGGATCCTTGTCATGCTAAATGCTGGACCTTCTCTTAACTTGCTTTTTTTCCCAATTCCATTTAGCTCCTTCATCTACCTTGACATCCCTACTAATCACAATCCTTTTGGTACTTGGATTGTAAATTCTATAAGCCTTAGATTGGCTACTATACCCAACCATAATGCCTATTTCAGCTTTTTCATCCAATTTCCTCCTTTTGTTTGCTGGAATAAGGATGTAGCACACACTTCCAAATACCTTTAGGTGATCCACATTTGGCTTAACACCATACCAGGCTTCAAAAGGAGTCGTGTTGTCCAGAGCTTTGGTTGGTATCCGATTAAGGAGGTAGATCCCAATGTTGATAGCTTCTGCCTAGAAAATTTTTGGCAGATTTTTCTCAATCATCATGCACCTTGCCATTTCCACCACTGTTCTATTCTTCCTCTCACGCACTCCATTTTCTTGTGGAGTGTATGGACTGCTAAACTGATGCCATATTCTAGCCCTTTGCATGCTTCTTCAAACTCATTGGAAGTGTACTTACTACCATTGTCACTTCTCAATTATTTGAGTGTCAAACCTGTTTGGTTTTCTACCAGCAATTTGAATGTTTTAAACACCACAACTACCTCACATTTTTAGTTCAAGAAATGCACCCATGTCATCCTAGAAAAATCATCTATGAAAAAGATGAAGTATCTACTTCCACTTAGAGAAGTTTGCTACATTGGACCACACACATCAATGTGTACAAGTTGGAGTCTCTCACTTGCTCTCCATTCTTTATTGACAGAAAATAGGGGCCTGTTGAGCTTACCAATTTGACAGGTTTTGCACAATCCTTCACCTTGGTCAATTTCGGGTAAGTTATGAACAAGGTTTTTGTGTTTGAGTTCCTTAAGGGCATAATAATGGAAATGCCCAAATCTCCTATGCCACAACTCTGAAGCATCTATCCTAGCTGAATGATTTTAAAAGATAAGTTTTCCCCATTCTACAGAGAAGCTTTTTCCCTGCATCCTAACCTTCATCAATTCAGTCCCATCACTTTCTAAAATAACACAAGCAAAGTCCTTGAAATACAGAGAATCATTTTTCTCTAGCATTTGTCCTACACTAAGTAGGCTCAAACTAATCTTAGGCATAAACAAAACATTTGTTATATGTTTAATACCTGTCTTGGTTTGGACAACTATATCACATTTGCTTTTCACCTCCAGCAGCTCACCATTTCCCACCTTTACTCTAGATTGATAGCCCTACTCCAGGTTCATGAAATTGCTGGCATTTGGTGGCATGTGGTTGGTGCAACCACTGTCAATCAGCCACACATCAGGACTACTTGCAACCATGCATTCCGAGACCACAAACAGCTGCTCTGTACTTTCTTGTGTCTGCTGGGAACTTTCCATTGCTTGAGCTTGTTAGTCCTGCCGATTCCCCTTGTTCTTACACACTCTTTCAATGTGCCCAAATTATTTACAAGACCTGCATTGTATGCCAGGCCTAAACCAGCATCTGTTTTCAAAGTGGTTTTTTTTTTTCTTGTAGTGAGGACAAGGACCAAAAGTTCTTGCACCTGCATTCTTTCCTCCTTAATTGTTCACATTTTCTTTTCCCTTCTTCTCTCCAGTATACCTCCTGCTTTCACCTTGAAATCCCTTCTTTTTTTGGCTTGCAAACATAGCTCCCTCACCCAAATCTTCCTGCCTCAACAGCCTCCTCTGCTCTTGTGCTTGAAGGGAATGCACAAGTTCAGCTAGACTGATATGGGACAGGTCTTTGGAGTCTTCAAGTGAGGAGATTTTTGCTTCAAATCTTTCAGGTAGACTGACCAAAACCTTCTCCACAATCCTATGATCAGTCAACTCCTCACCAAGTAGTTTAATCTTATTCACTACATTCATTAATCTATCCACATACTCTTTGACATTTTCAGTTTCTTGCATTTTGAGCATTTCAAACTCTCTTCTCAAGTTCAAGACCTGCATGTTTCTGGTTTGGCTACTTCCCCCAAACTCCTCCTTGAGCTTATCCCAATATTCTTTAGGAGTATCACATGCCATTATCCTAGAAAAGACCTGGTCGGTTACTGCATAATGGATGTAGAAGAGTGCTTTTAGAGCCTTTGCTACCTCTTCTTCATGAATCCTTATCTGATTCAGTGTTGGGTTTGCTCCAAGCTCAGGGATTTGTTTCTCTTCCTCCACATATTTCCATAAAGAATGACCTCTCAAGTAGGTCTTCATTTTGACAGCCCAAACATGGTACTGCTCACCATTAAAGATAGGTGGAGAAAGAGGTGTTGGGTTTGTTTCCATGAAGGAGATCTTAAGAGAGTTGAGCTATGTTTGAAGAGTTGAGGTTTTGGTCTGGAAACTCATGGTAGCTCTGATACCAATTGATGGTTTTAAGGCTAGAGAATCCTAAGGAAAAGCACTACAGAGAAGTTGGCACACAATGAAAAAACTGAATATGGGAATTGTCTCACTTCATTGAACAATAATGCAAATAATATACATGGTTTGCACTGTTATTACACCTACTCTGCAGCAGGTTTACAATCAAAATAAATCAGCCATACTTTGCTAACTACTACAAACACATCACATTACAAAACACCTAACCAGTTGATTTACAGCTGAATTCACCTAAATTAACATTACATTTATTAAAAAATTCAGCTCCAAAGAGTTACAGTAGAACCAAAAAAAACTACAGCAGAAATTTAAACTTTGCCACCAACCTTGCAGCATCAGATTCCAAATGTTGATAGTTTCCAGCATAATATCAGCTTTATCAACAAAAATCATGTCCCATAGCATTTCTTCATCAGGCACAGGCAACATTCCAAACAGTATTACATCTTTTTGACTGGTTAGCTTGCAAGAGGTTTGATCAGAACTGAAATCGACACCAACATTTGTCATTGCACTTACTGTCTTCAAATCTGAAATGTGCTTTATGTTAGGAAGCATCTTGATTGTTACAACTTATAGGAGATTGCGCAATGGAAAATATACTTTCGAGATAACTAAAATAAGATTAAATCACACCACACAAAGAGACACAATATTTACGTGGTTTGTCTAACCCGCCTAAACCCACATATGAGAAAAATCCACTATAGTTTCATGAATACAATATACAAGAATACACAACACCATAAACCTGGTACATAATTAATAGAGCAGAAACAATCCTAATTTCTAACCACTCTCAATCCAGTACCTAGAGCGAAAATAATTCATGTTTCTAAGACACTCTACTTATGGTGTTTAAATAACCTTTACATCAAATATCATGTATTCTCACATTCTCTCATAATCTTGAATTAGTTCTCACCCCTATATTTATAGGTAGCATATAAAATATTCTTTTTCTAATAGGATTAATGTTTCATTTCCTAATGACTCCTAAATTCTATTCCTATTTACAATTTTATTCTTTATTAAATAGTTTTCTTAAAGACATACAATTTCACATGGGAACAAATAGGAAAGGGAGCCACAAATATCCCAACAACAGTGCAGTGCCACATTATCAAGTTTCTGGAATTTCAAGTTCTAGCTTCTTCCTTGTGTGTCGCGACAGAAGTTTCTTCCTACCGTAGAAGACGTATGGCATTGCGGCACTGCGACGCGACATGCTTCCCTTCTACCAAAACGTGTTCATTGTTTAACAGGATCAAGTGAAAAAAAATTCAAATATCATCATCTATGAAAAAGACTTTTTAATTCATTAAGTTTCATTAATAAATCTTCTTGTATAAAATAATTTTATATATATAATGGTGATAATGTTTGAACTTAGGTTAATTTGATTAAATAAAATAAAAGAGCGTTAATGTTAAAACATAGAGTATAAAAGTATAATTGAAAATTTTCTAAGTTGGATGGGGCATGAGCCCCCTTCCACCCCCTTAGTGGCTCCGTCCGTCTGTAAATCAGGTCACCACATAAGCTTCTTTCGCGGTTGATCTCCATAACGTAATCTTGCATTCCATGCAAAGCTTCAACCACAACTTAAATGGGTCAGAATTTCTGGAATGGAGTATTTAAGCGTGCGTAAGGAATCGTGAGGATTGGGCTACAAATTTGAAGATCATTAACTATGACTCCCGAGAATACATTTATTATTAAGTAGTCATGAATAACCCAGTTGGAATATGAGAAGAAAATTCTTATCCAACATGATTTCTACTCCTTCCAATATGACATTCAGGCTAATCTAATCTTATGACCTTGACATTTGGAATATCATTCATAGCTTCACGGTATAAGCTCCTAGACGTTGAAAGAAGATTGGACTTTATCGTTATTATCACTATTACACGTTCAAAACCCAGTTGAAATTCTTCCAGAAGGATTAAACAGATGCTAATTGTGGGGCAAAAATCAGAAGTTATGACCAGCTCGATCAAAACTAACATGCAGTCTTTGTTGATTTATGTTGCTTGTTGATTTAGTCTTTCTACCACGTTATGTTGCTTGTTGACTTAGTCTTTCTACCACGTCATAGCAGTTATGAAACGTAGGCTATTTTATTGCGTTCAGTTTTTTATTTCAGTTCTCTGTAAGGCTATTTAACAGCCAAATTTGTTATTCAATATTCAGTGGATTTCCTTCAATATTCTGTCTGTGCAATTTCTTTAATCTTTATTTTTCTACAGTCTTTAATTCTTTTTGAGGTGACTTCAATTTTGTTTTCTCTATTATGTGAAACGAGCTGACCCATTGAGCTAAAATGGACCGAGAAAAATCGTGTTCAATGAATCAATGGTGACCGGACTCAGAAATTAAAGCAGTTCGGTAAATAAACTTGGATTCATTTATTATGAATTGTACCAAACCGACCAAAATAAGCAGTCCACTTTACATAAATACCTGACCCTCATTAAATTCTCGACTTTCTTAAAGATACACAACGAATAGCAAAACAGTTGGACACGGCAGCCTTTTTCTGTACCCTTACCCTTAAAATGATCTTATAATAATCCCAAGACACGGCAGCCTTTTTCTGTACCCTTACCCTTAAAATGATCTTATAATAATCTCTAAGGTGTTGGCTTGATGCTGAGCAATATTTGTTTTTTTATCAATTTTCTATATTCGAATTATCTTAAAATTATTTATTATATTTGTAACTTATCTTAGAATATTAAGTTTATAGAGTGTTTAATAGACTCTAAATACAAGCCGACTCAAATAACCCTTTCATTAGAGAAAAAAAAAAAAAAAATTATAATCATATATCATATGTAAACTGTAACACGTCAATACTTTTCCATATACGTGATGGACCATTTACTTTTCCATATAAACCCATTGGGTTCTTTCCGCGCAAGAGAAAATGCTTTTCATTCATGGCCAACTGCTCCAATTGAAATAGACCTTATTAATTAATGAGAGAACAACATGTTTCCACCAAGGTTTAGCGAAACGACACTTTCTCATCCATCAAGTTTCAAAATGACACTTTCCCACCTTTCTTTAGCTTCTGTTATGTTTTCCATTAATATTTTATTAAAAAGATAAAAATACCCTTAAATATTTTACTTTATTATTTTTTAATTAGCCAAAAAAGTCAAATATTAAAAATTTAAAAAAGAAAAAATAATTAACCTCATCTAAAATAAAATTATTTAAAGTTAAATAATCTTAATATTTATTTATAATGTCATCACTATTATTTATAATGTTTTTCATTTTTACTAATTAACATAAAAAATAATATTCCTAATTAATTAAATAAATAAAGAAAAAAATATATCTTTATACTTTGACTAATAAATAATCGAATAAAGGCTTTGAATTAACTAATTTAATTTATAATAAACTAATTAAGAAATAAACTATTTAAGGGTATTTTCGTCTTTTTAGTTAAATATTAACTGAAAATACTAACAGAACCTAACAAAGAATGAGAAAGTGTCATTTTGAAACTTGACGGGTGAGAAAGTGTCGTTTCGTCAAACCTTGGGTGGGAAAATGTCGTTCTCCCTTAATTAATCATCTTAATTTGATTTTGGTTCATCCCGTCGACAAAAGCAGCTAAATAGAATTATTTCTTATGTTAACGTCCACTCTATTTTATTTAATATTATTTATTCCATTTATTCAATTCATGTTAATCAAAGTTTCATCAATTTCCAAATCATGTGTGAACCTCCTTGATTTACCGTTTAAGAAAAAAAAAACCAAAAAATCAGCTGGACTGTAAAAGACTGTTTACGTATTGAATTGACGCAAAGCGCTACAAATTGTGATTAAGAAATACGAATAATTAGAAGTTGTGTTTAAGAAGAAGAACGAGTCAAACGCATGAACGACTTGAAGAAGTCAAAATCGAACTACGATTTGGCCTGCAGTTTTACCTTCATATTTCTTTTCTTTATTCCTATCCTGTAATTAGATAATCTCGATAAAACATCTGCTTTTCCCTTTAAACTATAATTCAATATTTCTAAACAAAGTAAGTAGGATTGCATTATGAAATTCCTGTTCTGTTGCACAAGTTCTTTCAGCTCTGTGTCACAAATTGAAACTGCCATCGATGGTAATTTTTAGACTTTACCTCTTCTTATTCAATCATGTTCGCACAGTTTATGTAGATATTGTTACTGGTTAGATGTGTAGTTCTTGATTCAGTTTCGCTCTTGATTGCTTTCTGTATTTGCCCACAAAACCAGGTGGACAAAACCATCAAAACTTTCATGTATTCTCTTCTAATGAGCTTAAAACTGCTACTCATGGCTTCTCTAGTTCGAACAAGATCGGAGAGGGCGGGTTTGGTTCTGTCTACAAGGTTGACTTTTTTCTCTTTGCCTGAATATCAAGTGTGAACAGAACTTTCTTGTATTTTAACTTGCATATGTTCTGTGAATGGAACATTAATTGAACTCATCTGTGTCAATTTCATTTCAATTTCTTTCTAATGTGAATGCAAGATTGTGAATAATTGTTTGATTGACAATGAAGGGCCGGCTTCAAGATGGCACTTTTGTGGCTGTGAAAGTTCTTTCAATTGAACTTGAATCGATGAGAGGCGAGAGGGAATTTATATCTGAACTCGCTGCTCTATCAGATATCAAGCATGAAAACCTCGTTAAACTTATCGGATGTTGCATTGATGGAACCAGTAGATATCTTGTCTATGATTACATGGAGAATAATAGTCTCACCCATTCTCTACTTGGTAATTTTTCATTCTATTTTACAAAATATTTAGTTATTAATTCTCTGTTTTATATGAGATAAATTCAATAGTTTTGTGTTTTGATTGATAGGCGGAGAGCAAAACAGGATGAAATTTAGTTGGGAAATCAGGCGGGATATCTCGTTAGGAGTTGCTCGAGGGCTCGCCTATCTTCATGAGGAGATTGAACCTCACATTGTGCATCGAGATATCAAAGCCAGCAACATACTAATTGATCAGAATTTTAAACCAAAAGTTTCTGATTTTGGCCTATCAAGGTTATTAAGAGATAACAGCTCTCACATTAGTACTCGTGTTGCCGGTACATTGTAAGTGAATTAGTTTTACTAATCTTTTCTTACAACTCTCTAATTTGTTGCCTTTTAGACACAAATCTTATGGACAAAAAGACATTATTGCTAATGAGGTTTCTTGCAATTACTCACAATGTCAAAAGAGGCTATCTTGCTCCAGAATATGCCATTAGTGGACACTTGACAAGAAAATCGGATGTTTACAGTTTTGGAGTGCTACTTCTGGAAATTATCAGCGGCCGGCAAGTTGTGGTTTTTGATTTAGAACAAGGGGAACATTACCTGGTCCAGAAGGTTAAATGGGTTACATAATCATCTTATTCTGTTAGTTTGATTTGTATTGATAATGTGGAAATAAGAATTATTTATTTGTTGCAGGCATGGGAAGTTTACAATGCTGGCAATTTGGTGAAATTAGTGGATCCTACACTTCAGATGAACTATCCTGAAGAAGAAGCCTTTCGATTCTTCAAGGTGGGACTGCTTTGCGTGCAAGAAAATGTAAGGCTACGGCCGACAATGTCAGAAGCTCTCAAGATGTTGTGCAATGAAATGGACATTCAGGATGTTCAGATTTCACGGCCGGGGCTAGTTGCTGATCTTATGGATATCAAGTTGAGCCAGAAAATCATGTCCCATAGCATTTCTTCATCAGGCACAGGCAGCATTCCAAACAGTACATCTTTTTGACTGGTAGTTTTTTTTTAGAACACACAAAAAGAAAAAACAAAGTGTTAAAATTGGAGTCAAGCTTTTGTATACCAAAGAAGAAAAGGAATGGTCTTATATGTATATGCAGTTTGTACAAATAATGTTTTTGGCACCGTGTGAAAAATGATTGTTTTGGGAACCCCTATGTTACCTTTCTTTGTTGATATGATGCAACCCTGCAGAAAATTCAACGTCAAAAGGAGACTAAGTTTGTATTATGGAGAAAACAGTAGCTTAAAACTTGATTGAGTAGGGCCAGTCAACTAGAGACAGACCCTATTACACATGTTTAGAAGTTTTAACTTGTTAGAGTTATAAAACGTTTTAAGTTGTTGAATCATATATTCAAATATAACTTCTGAAAAACCTTTTTAAAATGGCTCATCGATCGAGTGTCAAGGGCGACTCAAGGCAACATCACCCTGCCAAGAAACCAAAAAGTAAATAAAACGAAGTAACTAATAATTAAATTGAATAAAGTTAATTCGGTGTATGATAATTAAATAAATTCTGCTCAAGAGTTTTCTGGAAATTCAGAACTGCTTAAAATGGTCTTGCTAATATGGTCTACATATCTCTTACATACCCGTATCAAAGAATGAAGATTAGCTGATTAAAGAACACCACTAGGCCGCCATAATTGACATAAGATCACCAGCGTTGTATTCTAAATTTACATACGAGCAAATTAAACAATAAAGAGTCAAAAACTAAGACCACAGTGGTCCTGTGATTATATTGATGATGAGCATGGCAAATAAGTCATTCACCAGTCAACAGGAAGCTTTAATTAAAGGGAAAAGTTAAACTTCATGTGCTGCATTCGTGCGGCTTATCATCGTCTATGAGCATGCGCAATTAGAGTATTTAATAAAAATAAGCAAAAATAAGAACATTCATATCTTGATGTCTAAAAACTTATTTCCTTTCTGAGAATATCAAATAAAGAATCAGAAACTGAAAGACGCTCGTTATCAATATTAATTCTCAGATATGAATGACAAGAAGTTAGCATGCATGGCTCCTCGCACGCTATTTACGAAGGCCACCAATCCCATGATGAGCTTTGCAAATGGCATACAGGGAGCCAGGCATACTATCTAATACACATGCATGCATTGATGAATATGCAAATGAAATGAGTGAACAAATATGCACAATTTCGCTGTTACTTTCGAGTAAACCAAACCGAAAAGACAATGTTGCTTGCATTGCCACAAAGTGATCACCCTCTACCGATGGATGCGATTTGGGAGCACAAAGTTCCTGCAATTAAAGAGCAAGTGTCACCCCGCTCAGATAGAGCAGAGGCGTAGATATGAGCATAAGAGTGAAGAAGCTTTATATAAAGTTCATGTAAAATGGATGGGTTGGCTTGAAGGTTACTGCATCCCATACCTTGTTTTTTTTATCCCACGCTGTTTCCCAGAAACCAACGAAGTAGCTTTTGAGTTGGCAATGTGGCTATAGCTAATACAGATCAAGAAACCAGTACACTTCACCTGAAAGGCTTCTTCTTTTTCCTACTTTTGTCTCTAAACGTGGCGAAGATTGTAGAGATTTGTGTGTGAGTATAAAAGAGTAAGAAGGAAGCTGTAGGTTAGAGATTAAGTAGTGAAGATAGAGATGAGGGCTAGGTTCTTTTTTCCTCTTTTCTAGTTCATAAAGCAAAGCAAAGCAAAAGCTTCTTTTTTCTCTTCTGAAACCGATTTGTCGTGGAGTGGTTGTATGATTTGGATTCCCATACGCTTACACCTGGCTTCATATTTCAAAACAATTAAAAAGAAAATTCTCTTCCTCATGTGACCCCTTCTTCTTCACAATTACCCCTCTTCTTCTCCTCAATGTTCATACATATCGCGGCCTAAAACCAAGAACCTTTGAAAGAAATTTTTTAAACAGTTAATATATAACTTAAGGCTACAGCTTGTAGTAGACATTTGATATAGAAAATGTGTTTTTTTTTTTTTTAATGTTATATAGCATTGTAATATTCTTATCCTTTTTCTTTTCAATAATACTATACTTACAAAGAAATCTTACAAAGATTTCCATACAAAGTAAGGTGGCAAAATATAAATGGAAGAGTGAAACAAAAAGTCAAACTCATTAAATTCACTATTTTCTTCATTTTTTGCCACATCACTTTGTATGGAGGTCTTTGTAAAATTTCTTTGTAAATGTAGTATTATTCTTTTCTTTTAGAAATTCAATACAAGTTTCAATATTGTTTCCAAAGAGAGAGAGGCCGGAGAGGAAGGGTCCTTGAAATAGGACGAAATGTTAGATACAAAGCAGATTGGCTCTGTCAATAATTCAATGTCAAGTAAATAAAAAAGCTGCAATGGATGCAGTGTGATCCATTAATTCGTTGATTACAAAAAACAAATTAAATATGGCTGAATGAAAAAGATGTGAAAGGTGTGTCTAAAATTGGTAATAATAACAGGATTGGAACTTGGAAGGAACCACCAAAGTGATGAGAATCCTCTTCTTTTGTCAGGATTCATTCTGAGCATGCCAGAGCTCAGAAATCACAAGGGTTTGCCATAATTATTTTTGCATTTGGACGGGCTTGAGGACCCTTTCCTTAGATTCTATTCTCTCACACACGCTCCTGTAAAAATTCAAGCTTTAATTGAAGCTTAAACTCACAAAATGCAGCCTCTCAAATCCTCTCCCGTGAAGTTTAATTAAAATATGTGAAAAATTTGAAAGTAAAAACTTTAATTTTGGAAGCATTGATAATTCGTATTGGTGACTGAATATATCATGATTTAAAAGGGAAGAAGGGTCCCAAGCATTGAGTGAGAACCCTTTTCTATTTTTGTCAGAATTGAGAAGGCTGCAAATTACAGAAATCACAAGGGTTGCCATCATTTTTTGTGTTTGGACGGGCCTGACCACCGTCTGTGTTTAGATTCTATATATTCTCTCTTTTTCTCCCACACATATATGCCAAGACCCTTGCAATGGGGTTGGCTATGTTATCAGACATATGTTTATAAAAGCTCAACCTAACACTTACAAAACGCAGCCTTATTAAAACCTTTTTCTGTGTCATTCAACGCTAATAACCTATATTCAAGCTAACATAAAGAAAGGCCTTTCTGCTCAAAGCAGTTCACATTGCATATTTGTATTTGTCCCACCGACTTCATTTGGTTGGACTTCGTAAACATAACGAACTGTACAAGAAAACCAACTTCAGCTATTAGACTTTAAAATTGCCCATTTGAAAGTTATCCATAATCACACACAGTGACAAATATTGGTTGCAGTCTACAAGTGCATATTCATCCATTTACTACAGGCAGAGGTAAGCAAAATTATCTTGGTGCTGTGGAGTTCTCTCCTGATTTAAATTTACCCATATTTTAAAATATTTCATGATGGGGTTTTTGTTTTGTTTCTTTTTCTATTCATTATTAATTACACCAACGAACTTGAATTTGAAAAAAGCTCAATCTGAATCTATGCTCAAAAATTGAGGGAAAAAAAAGAAAGTCAAGTGGTAGAAAATTAATTAACTAGCGGCACATCTCTGTTATTAGCTAACATAACATACATAGATTTCATTTGATTTGACAAAACAATATACTATGGAATACATTCCCGGTTAGACACTTCAAGTCTTAGATTCACCTAACATGCTACAGAACAGCTAACAGTTTCCATATCTTCTACTACAGGGCCCAAAAAGCAAAATTTAGACAATGCAACGCCCAGTGGACCAAAGATTTAGCACTGTTTGGGATTTCATGTAAAAGGAATACACTGGTAACATAAGGCAAACTGAATTTTTTTATATTTAAGTATATTAGAGATATACATATAAAAATAAAAAAATAAAAAAGGGATATGAAGGACGGAGTCCGGAAATAACCAAAGACCAAAGTAGTAAAAAAAAGTCCAGCTCTAATTTAGACAATGCACTCCTTCATAGTATTTTAATAACGGGGTGAAACCTGGCAAATTGGCCAGGTCCTGGGTTGACTGGTTGAACTGGTCCAACTAACGGATTGGACCAGTGATGTCAGCATGTCCAGATGTTTGAAATCTAACAAACGCACTGTTAAAAAATTACACATAAGTCCCTATAGATTTGAAATCTAGTAAACACACCATGTGATCTGGTCAAATGCAAATTGGCGGTTGACTAGTTGGCAACGACGACACACCAAATGCAAATAACATTCATCCTTTGAGTCATTCCCTAGCAAATGCCTAAGATCTAGCCGAAATTAAACCATATTTCGTAAAAAAACCACCACGCATGACTGTCGCCCCGAGCCAAATAGACCTGTTTTCGGCGTCAACAACGCGCCCCCCCCCCCCCCCCCCCCCCCCCCCCCCCCCCCCCCCCCCCCCCCCCCCCCCCCCCCCCCCCCCCCCCCAAGAAAACACTCTCCTTAGCCTCCTGACCAAAACCCATCTCACCCCCTATTCAGCTTGCCAATTGCCGACAACATCCCGTTGTTGTGGCTTTGCGACTTTTGCCTTTTGTGGTCGTTTCGCTTATGGGAAATTACCTTCGTCACCACCTTTCGACTCATAGACACTTTCTCTCCAAAAACTCTAACAGCCTCACCATCGTCTACTTGCAAATCATCACCCTCCTCTCTAGGGTTTGCTTCTTCGTGAATTTGGGGTTTTAAACAGTGGATAGGGGTGACCCAGCCCGGCGAAGGCCTGGTTCCTCATCCGATCGGTTATTGTACCTGTTTGGCTGGGCCGGATTTTAAAACAATGGCCCTTCACATAAATGGACAACTTATTGTTCATACTTTATATGAAGAATAATAACTTGTCTATGGTTATTTTCCTATTTGTGTGGCATGATGTTGCATATTTTGGACAATATCTTTGATTTAAAATAGAATTGATTTTTTCTTTAACGGATTATAACAACATTGTATATAAACTATTTCGTAATTATAAAGTATTGTGACAATGGAGACATAGATATTATGAATTTATGACTGCATAAATTTATATAAGTTGTGTTTTGATACATTGAGTTATTGAAGCTGTAAGTGAGCATTCACGTTGTTCCCAAAGAATCATAATCATGGTGATAACTACAACGAAATTAAAATATAATAACTGCAGTGAAAGAGCAAATTAGCAGATAACTAGAGTAACATAGAAATTATGAGAACAGAGTTTTTTCTTTATGCGAACTTAAAAGGTTATTAAATAATCATACCCAGTACATAAAAAGGAAGAAAAGAAAAGTATTCTATTCTTGATAAATGACAATGTTACGGCCCATTTTTTTATTCCTGAAATACAAGTTCCAATTGTTACACAAGAGGGCATACCTATTTAATCCATTTCCATAGAATGAACAAATGTAGAATGTAGAAAAAATTGCATCTCCTTTACTTTGTGGAGATAAACTGAAACAAGCACGGAGAAAATAGAAGTAAAAAAAATACAAAAAAAGGGCTTAGAGAGGGTGTGAACCGGTATGCGTCGTCATATGCAAGAAGCTCATACAAATTTACAGTTTCCAAATGGCACTACTCAATGAAGATGAAGTATTTATCAACTTGATTTTACCGAAAGTATGAGACTTGAGCTGAAGACTACAAGATCAAACCTTCCTTCACAATTTGCTCCAACCATGTTGCCACTTCTGACATAGTAGGACGCTCACTTGGATTTTCCCTAATACACAATTCTGCTATATCCGCTAGTTTTAGCAAAGGCTCAACATTTCTTGGTAGCGCCACATACCGATCGATTATTGCAGCTGCCTTACCCTGTTTAATCAAGGGCAATGTCCACTCAACTATACCAGGAGGTGTGTATTCTCTATCGTACGCTTTTCTCCCGCTAAGAATCTCTAATACTACAATCCCAAAGTTGTACACATCATTCTGTATGTCTCCACTGAAATCCCTCTCATTAGATGTAAGAAGCCCGAAATCAGCAATTCTAGCTCCCCAATCGGAATCTAAGAGAATGTTTAAAGTCTTAACATCTCGATGCACAATTGGTGGAACAGCTTCCTTGTGGAGGTACTCAAGCCCTTTAGCTGCCTGCATTGAAATTTTCAGCCTCAGGCTCCAATTTAGAGGAGAAAGTCCACCATGGAGATGGTCATGAAGTGTTCCATGGGGCATAAACTCATAAACAAGAAGCCTCTCCCCCATCTCTAAGCAATAACCGAGCAAATTCACAATATTGCTATGCCTGATACTGCAAAGGATTTCCAACTCCATTTCAAATTCTCGGATATTAGAGTGAATTATTGTGGCTGCATTAGCTCGCTTGACAGCAACTTGCCGCCCATCTGCAAGGACAGCTTTGTAAACAAAACCATAGCTTCCCCTGCCAAGTTCATTAAACTCCTTAAACCCATTGGTAGCATCTTTCAGCTCTGAGAGTCGGAAAACTTGAGCCACCCCAGGACAGGTAGCAATTGGAGGAGGAAGTGAATCAGCAGTAGCATCAGTGGCTAATTCTGGTTTACCAATGCATGATTTGAATTGTTTTTTTGATCCATCTTCTGTTCTAGTGGTACAAACATGCGGAAGTATACACCAGCTAATTATTAGCAGTAACAAACCTGCTGCAGAACAACCAACTATGAGAACTAAACGGCGAAACTGATGCCAATGCCTTTCTGTAGAAGATTGAAGCCCACAAACATCCCAACAAGAACTACTCTGGCAAAGTGAGCAGGCTGTGCATACTCGGTCAGCATTATCAGTGCACGGACTAGACAAGAAGAATCCTCCAGAACAATTTGTTCCACAGGGTGAACAAATTTTCAGATCCTTTCTAACACACAAGCTTGTCAAATCCGGCTCATTTAGCATACTTGCATTGAAGGCAAACTCCCCAACGTTACAAGGACCAGGTGTACAAAGTCCTGGACTACACAACTCCAAAGGAGGATCATAATCAGCCGGCAAGGAGGAATTAGCAAACCAGCAGTCAAGAACCAAATCATTTTCCCTGATACCACACGTTGTAAAATCAGATGAAGCAATAGCCATAAACCCAGAATTCTTCGGAACAGATGAAAAATTAAAGCTTCCCCAGCAATCAACTCCATGATTATCTTCTCTAATACCACAAAAATGATTGGCACCAGCAGCCAACGACACAAATCGGATCCCGACTCGAGGAACTAAACTTGAATCATCATTAGAACCCCAACATTTGACCTCGCCAGATAAATCTAAAATCCCACAAAGAGATTCTTTTGCTGAAGCTAAAACTGTGAAATTTTCTGTCACATTAGAGACTCCTAAACTCCCAGAGTTTGGTCCCCAACAAACAACACCGCCGTCTCTAACCCCACCACAACTAAACCCCTCACCGGACACGACATATTTAAGAACAAGAGTACTAACATACTCATCATAAAACATGGTACTTTGTACAGAACTCAAAGTATTATTATTACCACTTCTCAAAATATCCCAACAATCAACAATACCCGAATCGTGATCAGAATAATAAGACCCTCTTATAGCACACACATGATTCTTCCCAGCAGCGATATGTGAATAAGCAGTGGTTTTAAAAACAGAAGGTACAAGATCTATACCTGATGAACTATTTGAACTCCAACAAAACGCTTGTGAAGTGTTAGCTAATATACCGCACAGAAATCCTTCACCGCCAGAGAGAGCTGCCATCGGAGGAATGTTACTAAAATAAGCAGCGCTTGTTGTTGAAGATGAAGAAGATAACGAAGAAGTGTTCTTTGCCCAGCAAAGAACGTCTTGTTTGCCACTGGCGTCAATGGCGCAAAAGAAGCTATTTTGACCAAAAGATGCGGAGATAGGACCCATTGAGCCGAACCCAGATGCGCCATTGGAAGAGAGAAGGAGTAGAACAGAGAAGAGAAGAAAAGAGGTAATCAGAATGCGCATGGTTTTGATGGCTTGGGTTTGGGTTTGGATGAAGAATTAAAGTCATGGACTCGTAGGAGGAGTGGAGTGTTGTGTTGTGTTGTGTTGAGTTGAGTTGAGTTGTATGTTTCAAGTGTTTGTTGTTCTTGTTGATGTGTTGGTGCCTTGGTGGTGACGATAGAAGAACGTGCGTGTCGCCATTTTTACAGTTTGCTAGGACCGTTAACAATTCAAAATCTACTTCACTAATTACCGCGAACCACATTTTCGTAGTTGAAAAATGCAATCTTAATCTTAGATGGCAATTATTCCATAAGAAATTAAGTTGAAATGATAATAATTTTTCATTTTCTTAAAGATGTTGGATTCCTCCGTCCATGACAAAACGAAGGAAAAATCTAAAATACCATTAGATCCTACATTATTCTTTTATGATCTCACATTTACTATATATAAGATTAGTAGGTGGTTTATTAACCCTAGACTCTCTACCTTTACAAGTCGATCCTATAAGGTGAATAATTTGAGTGTTCGAACTAATTTGCGTATATTTTAATTAATCTCTGAAGTCCATTAAATATCTTACAAATCTAAAGAACTAAATAAGTCATAATGTTATTGTGATAGATAACTTAAATATTTGAATCCAAAAATTCAAAGAATTAAGCAAATCTTCTTGAGTGTCAGCTAGCCCCTTGAGATTAATTTTGTAACAATTGGTATCCCAATATGATTAATTATTGATATAAACTTGATAAATAATTGCATCTTATTTTGAGCGCAGAACATGGTGTTTGAATTTCAGGTAGTCATAAGTCATAAGTCATAACCAAACCTTTTTTGAAAAAGGGTGGTTCAAATGGAGTTTCATGAGTAAATTTTACTGATAATCATGCATGATTGTTGTTGACAACGATTATACGAAATCAAATTCATTATCAGAGAATTACAAATTAAGAAAGCAGTTGTGCTTATCGAAACGAAGAAGAAGTTAGCGCTGAGGCTACGTAAGAAACAGAGAAAAGACAGCACAGGAGGATATGAAAATATGGGAAGTGTACGGTGAACCGAGTGGGGTTTTTCAGAAGGTTGTCGTAATCTAAACACTAGTGTCTATTTTTTCATTAATGGATGGATAGAAATTACAAACAGTACAGAGTGTGACCACTTACCCACTTGCCTGTTATTATTCATATTTTAAGAAATATATATTTGACTATGTATGTACCGTCTTTTACTTAATTACATTTTTAATCTAACACCCAAAAACCCCCACCCAACACCCCACCCCACCCCCCCGCGGTTGATTTGGATTGCAATTTATTATGTTACGTACCCTTTGGAATCAAATCTACTTCAATCAATGTACCTATTTAATGTAAGATGTCAGTCGCACTATAATATGATAAATTGACAACTTGTTAACATTAATTTTCCTATACTGAAATAGTCTACCGATCAAAGAAGGTTTGTTCACTTCCTTAAGTTTTTATGTTTAAACCTTAGAGTCATTTACCATAATAATATTATTGTTTACCTGATCCTTTGGGTTTATAGGATATTCAATAGACCTTAGAAACAGTTGAGATGCGCACAAACAGGCTCGCATACCCCGATTACCAAAAAAAAAAAAATCTTATACTTGTGTTAATTTATATCTGCTCTTAATGTATATACATTTTTAATTTTATAGTTTAAACTAACAGAACACATAAAGTTTCAATACAAATTTGAAAGTGGGATATCAATAAATTAACAAAAAAATGGAGGGTTAAACAAAAATAACCATATTTATAAAAATTTTAAGACTATATTAACCAACGATTATTAGGATTTTAAAATTATTCTCATTCAAAAGCCAACATTTTATTCACTTTCGCTCTTTTTCTAATAATTTGAAGTTCAATTTTTTTGCCATTCCAAATTCTTAACAAATTGAAGCAATAATTTCATCATTAATAGTTGTTTCCCTAAGATTAAAGTCGAAAAATTGATTGAAAAAGTTGGAAATTTGGTTTGGAAACATAGGTATATGTTAATGATGTGGCATCATTTTTTAAACATGTCTACTTATGTGAAGTCCACTGCTAGTCAAAAGGCATTTTAAAGAAAGAAACAGGCATTTGTGGAATTCTTACTTTAGGATGTGTGTTGGTCGACCTTATCTATTTTAAGTTGCATTGCTGGTTTCTTCTTGATTTTCTCTTGGTTACAGTGAGAGAAACTTTGTTGCAAATGGCGATTGAGGTGGAGCATTGTAGATCACCAGATGAATCAAACAGCTTTGGTGAGGACTTGTCATATGGTTTGTTACACGGTTGTCTCCTTTTTCTTTGTATAAATGTCTTATGATCTTTTGTATTTGGATGTATGAGAGCTGAGGCAAGGGTGTTTACGAATGGTTCATAGAGGGTATCCTGGGTTTCTTTGTATACTAGAAGGTGTCTAAAACTTTATAAGTTTACCATTGATTAGTGATTTCTTGCTCACCCTGGAGAGTGGATGTAGGTAATCAGTTTGATTACCGAACCACTATAATTTTTGTGTTCCTTTCTCTATTTTATGCTTTCCATATTTCATTATTATTGTTATGTCGTTTGTGAATTTGCTTTAAGATTGTTGTTCTACTGTTGTCGAATGAGTCTTTAGTTTCTACAAGTGGTATCAGAGCCAGATTAGGTCTGGGTATTAAAGATTCTTTGAATTTGTGACTGTCTAGGGTTAGATCTAAAAATACTAGTTATGGGTTTCTTGACTTAGAGTTTCTAGATCTTGATTTTTGCGGCTTTTCATCTCTGAGTAACGGTGAGAGATTAAAACCTAGATATGTATAAGTTTGAGGTAGAGAAATTCACTGGAGACAATGATTATGGTTTATGGAAGATGAAAATAAGAGATGTGTTAGTTAAGGATGGTCTGTCAGCTACCCTAGAGGGTGAAGGTAGTTTACCAAAGTCCTTAACTAAGAAAGAAAAGAAAGAACTCTTAGACAAAGCCCATAGCACCTTGATACTTGGGTTAGGAGACAGTCTTGAGAGAGGTAAAGAAGATGGCTACACCAGCAAGGGTTTGGGAAAAATTAGACTCTTTGTACCTGTCCAAATCTTCTCTGAATAGGTTAATTTTAAAACAGAAGTTCTTTGGTTTTAAAATGGATGAGAGTAAATCTTTAGGAGAGAATATGAATGATTTCATGAAATTGGTTTAGGATTTAGAGAGTCTAAGTGTCAAGGTTGAGGATGAGGATCAAGTTGTCATTCTCATAAATTCTTTGCCAAAAATGTATACAAACTTTGTTGATACTTTGAAGTATGGTAGGCAGACCGTTGAGCTAGATGAAGTTGTGGTGGCAAACATTGCAAAGGATTTTGAATTTAGGAAAGAGGGTAAGCTAGATGGTGAGGGGCTTAATGTGAGAGGTGGATTTGAAAAGAAAAGTCATAAGAAAGGGCATTTCAGCGGGAGATCAAAATCAAAGTCAAAATTTGTGAGAAAATGCTTTTACTATCATAAAGAAGGCCATTTCAAAAGGGACTGTCTTGATAGGAAGAAAAATCAAGGGAAAAGGATGCTAGTGGGAGTGTAGATATAGTTTCTGATGGGTATGAGAGTTCAGATGTATTGGTGGCTTCTGAAACGGAAATGGATTCTGAATGGATTCTTTATTTAGGGTGTACATTCCATATGACTCCAAATAGGAGTTTTTTTATGAACTTTAAAGTTAGAGTTTGGGAAAGTCTTGATGGGTAATAATGTTGTATGTAGAGTCTTAGGAATTGGAGATGTTGGACTAAGCTTGCATGATGGTAGTTCAAAATTACTCACAGAGGTCAGATACGTACCAGAGTTAAAAGGAATTTAATTTCCTTAGGAAGCTTAGATTCTAATGGGTATAGCTATAAGGCTCAAGGTGGAGTTCTTAAGATCACTAAAGGGTCTTTAGTTGTGATGAATGGAGACAGGAAGAATGGGTTGTATGTTCTAAATGGTTCAACCATCACTGGAACAGTAGCTGTGTCATTATCTCAGAAGCCTAACACAAAATCTCTTTATGGCATAAGAGATTAGGACATGTTAGTGAAAAGGGTTTAGTTGAGCTAAGCAAGTAAAAGGTCTTAAGAGGGGGCAAAATAGAGAAACTAAGCTTTTGTGATCATTGCATTTATGGAAAGATGAGCAAGATTAGGTTTAGTGTAGGGAAACACTGTTCTAAGTCCATCCTAGACTACATTCATTCTGATGTGTGGGGGCCAACTAAATATCCATCCTTGGGGGGTTGTAAATTCTTCATTAGCATCAGAGATGAATACTTTAGGAGAGTGTGGATATACTTCTTGAAGAGTAAAGGGAAGCCTTTAGTAAATTCAAGGAGTGAAAAGTCATGATTGAGGATCAGACAGGGAAGAGAATTAGAAAATTAAGAATTGATAATGGGTTAGAGTTCATTAATGAGGAGTTTGATTAACTGTGTAAAGATAGTGGAATTCTGAGACATAGAATAGTTAGGTATATACCTCAACAAAATGGGCTAGCTAAGAGGATGAATAGGACTATCTTGGAAAAGGTTAGAAGTCTATTGTCTTGTGCCAAACTCCCTACCAAATTCTGGGTAGAAGCTACTCATACAACAGTGTTTTTTATTAATACGATTCCCTCCTCAGCCATTGAGTTCAAAACACCTATTGAAAGATGGACTGGGTATCATAGCAATAAACACTGTCTTTATGCATGACAACTCAGATAAGTTATATCCTAGGGCCACTAGGTGTATTTTCATAGGCTATCTTGATGGGGTAAAAGGGTATAAGTGCTGGGATGTTACTAAGAAACAATGTATAGTCAGTAGAGATGTTAGGTTCAATGAAGAAGAATTAGGTGGTCTGAGTGAGAAGGCTGGTGAAACTAGTGAAATATCTAAAGTCATTAGTTTTGAATTGGGTGATGAAGCTTCTACTAAAATCTTGGTAGTTTGCAACCAGACTATTAGCAAAAAGATTTTCAATTCCAAGATGAGAAACCTGCCTTAGTGGAGAATGAGGATGATTTAACTCATGATAAAGAAAATGAGCTCCAAAACTATCAGTTGGCTAAAGATAGGCAA